TTTTAATCAATGCTTTAATTAAGTTTTATGGCAACGAAATGGGAGCAACACCTCTGGAAGCTTTTCGTTTCGTTCGTGTAGTCGTTTAGTCGTGTCCGACTCTTTGTGACCCCATGGACCAGAGCACGCCAGGCCCTCCTATCTTCCACTGCCTCCCGGAGTTGTGTCAAATTCATTCTGGTAGTTTCGATGACATTGTCCAACCAAAAAAAGGAGGAGGATGCTATACCCCACCTGTCTGTCTGTCTGGAAGCTTTTAGTTATGTTGAAATAGAAAACTTGGCTGTATCAAGAAATCCATTTGGAGAGAGTGCAGGAGAAAGAGCCCTAAACATAGTTATGGTTATCCCTCGGTAACGTCTATAGATGGATGCAAGCTGGTAGCCATTACGGAAGAAACTTCATACTCAAATAGATCACAAGCTGGATCCAAGCCAACAGTGTGATTTGGTTACAAAAATAGGTGATTCCTATATTAGGTTGCATTAACAGAAGCATCATTTCCAAATCCTGCAAGGTGCTAGTCCCCCTCTATTCAGCACTGGTTAGGCCTCACCTTGAGTCTGGTGTCCAGTTCCAGACTCCACACTTCAAGAAGGATGCTGGAACAAGTTCAGAGGAGGGCAACAAGGATGATCAGGGGGCTGGAAACCAAGCCCTGTGGGGAAAAGGCTGGAAGAACTGGGCCAGTTTAGCTTTGTGAAAAGAAGACTGAGGGGGTGATAGGATAAAATTTCTCAAATATTTGAAAGGCTGGCATACAGAGGAAGGCAGGATCTATACTTGATCATCCCAGAGTGCAGGACACGCAACCATGGGCTCAAGTTACAGGAAGCTAGATTTCAACTGAGTTCAGGAAAAACTTCCTAACTGTTAGAGCAGTACAACAATGGAATCAATTAACAAATCAATTAACTCAAGTGATGGTGAGTGCTCCAACACTGGAGGCATTCAAGAGAAACTTAGACAACTACCTGGCAGATATCCTTTGATTTGGATTCCTGCCTGGAGCAGGGGATTGGACTTGATGGCCTTAGAGGGACCCATTCTGACTTCACTATTCAATGATACTTTCTCCTAACGAAAGGAAGCAACAACAAACAATTTCCTCTAATAAAAGGGAACCTATAACACTGCTTTCCAGTAAAAAGGAGAGTGGTACATTTAAGTGTAACTATTTACATATCAAAACAAGTGATCAGTTATTAAAAAAGGAGGAGGATGCTATACCCCAACTCTCTGTCTGTCTGTCTGTCTGTCTGTCTGTCTGTCTGTCTGTCTGTCTGTCTGTTCCTCCCACTGGTTCAGGTTATTTGCTCCCATGCATTGGTGGTTTTCTACATCCAACTCTTCCTGTCCTTGTTCAGCATACTGGGTAAAGTAGGAGGACTTTGGGGCCTGGCTTGTCACTGTCCAACACTCAAAACTAGAGGATTCAGCCAGCACATCATTAGAAGACAAGCTCCCTTCAGAGGTAAAAGTCCAAGGGTTAGCCTAGCACAAGCTGGCCTCACTCCACATGTTGCAGATCAACTTGCTTCTGTTTTGCAATTGGCCATTGGGGAGGGAAAAACGGTCATCATTTGCAAACCTGATTGCTCAGCCATGAGGTTTTGAAGGAACTGCATATCTGGAGGGGAAAGGTGCTTGCAGGAAACACACGTTTCCTTTAATGTGTAATTTGACCCTAAACCTCTGTTTTGGAAAGAAGAGTGGAAGAAAATGCAAGATGAGCCCCTGTTGCTTCAGGTCAACTTGCTGGCCTCACCAGCTCCAGATATTTTTCTAAAACATCAGCCGCAAGCAGGGATGAGAGGAGGATTCCCCCTCATGCATTGCTTTATTAATTCCATGGATGACACATGGATAGGATCAAGGGCAAGACATCCTAGGTTGGGAAACTCAAGGAGCTTTCCTCCCCCCACTCCTCCTCACACAAACAGTGGTATTTTCCATGTGAGTTGAATTGCATTGCAGCAATATTTTTATGAGCACAAATAGGGCCTGCGGCACCCATCAAACTTTGTTTTCCCTTCAGGTGTGGATGATTGAGGTTGGAAGCAATGCACAATATCTCTAGCCTGGCCTGTGAAGAGACAGGGCAGCCCATAATCCTTCCCAGAGATGCAGGGAACTCTGGGTCCCCTTAGTTTGCCACGTCCAATCAGGCGGAAGGTAGCAGGAATGATTACAGACCCTAGTGTGGCTCAACGCGATGACCAGGTACCCCCTCTTACAGAAGCTGGTGTTCTCAGATCAGCAACATCCACTTTTGTGATGCTTCAGTGTCTAAACCTGAGACCAAGGGTTGGAACCTTGAGCCTGGAACATCTTCTGGTCTAACTGATGGTGGAAATGGACCTGAAATCTTGGCAAAACTGCCTCACCAGGCAGTAGGACTTCTGATAGCCAAGGGCAAGTTGGAGAGGGGGCGGTGGTACTACAGGCAACAATGAGTGCCATCCTCCTTCCGTGATATTGTTTGCTCTCTTTATAGAATTGTTTGGGAATGTTATTAGAGGAGATAAATTAACTTGCAGTATGGGTTTCCAAGATAGAGTGAAGATTTGTTATTTGCTGATTAGTAGAGGTGCACATGGGGGGGGGGAAACGTGGTGGCGCTTTTTGCTAATGTTATTAGAGGAGATAAATTAATTTGCAGTATGGGTTTCCAAGACAGAGTGAAGATTCGTCATTTGCTGATGAGTAGAGGTGTACATGCGGGGGGGGGGGAATGTAGTGGTGCTGTGGGTTAAACCACAGAAGCCTCTGTGCTGCTAGGTCAGAAGACCAGATAAATAGGGACCTCAGTGGAAAGGTAACGCCTTTCCGTGTCTAAGTCACGCTGGCCACAGGACCACAGAAACTGTCTTCGGAGAAACACTGGCTCTATGGCTTGGAGATGGGGATGAGCACCTAGTTTCAGACACGACTGGACTAAATGTCAAGGGGAACCTTTACCTTTATTCAGAAAGAAACAAGGCATTAGGATAATAGATTGTTTAGGAAAGATGAAGAATATAGAATATATGGAAGAAATATTAGGAATGGAGAGACTACTCTCGTTCAATTAGAGCAGTGGACTAAAGATTGGGTGAAAAGAAATGGTAAATACAGAGTTTTAATGAGATTTGAAGAAATGGTTTTATAGAAGGAAAAGGTAGATCCAAATAAGATAATGAAAGGGATTCTAAATAAAATCTACAAGATAGTAATAGACACTGAGGACCAACAAGATTTTCTTAAAACATTATGGAAACATGATTTGGGAGAGGAAACGAGAACCATGTTGTGGAATAATATACGGAACACAAGAATAATGAAGTTTTTTTCCCTTATCTATAACAATAAGGGAAAATTTTTACAAACTCATTTTAGTTCCAGTGAAATTCAGTCAAATAGATATTAATTACTCTAAGTTGTGTTGGAGAAGATGTCAGAAAACAGGTACTTATCTTCATTGGTGGTGGGAACGTGAGAATATATTGAAATTTTGGCATTTGGTTTTAAAGGAAATATGAAATAATTAAGATAAATATGCAAGCATGGCCCAAAATGGTGGTTTTATAAATATTTGACATGAAGCTATGTAATTTGAAAGAATTGATTTCAATTTATTAACAGATTCAAGATTAATGGTAGCAAGGAATTGGAAAGACCTAAAATGGTGGTTTTATAAATATCTGACATGAAGCTATGTAATTTGAAAGAACTGATTTCAATATATTAACAGATTCAAGATCAATGGTAGCAAGGAATTGAAAAGCCAAGCATGATTTTCAATTAAATGAATAGTATCGTGAAGTTTGGAGTATGGCTATTAATGATGAGTTTGGAATACGGCTATTAATGATGATAAGTAAGCATACCTTTATTGATTCCTGGGGAAAATTTATTGATTTTGTATAGATTTTATAGAAATCTATACAAAACCTTTGCAAGAATCCACATAGTTTTGGAAGAGGACTGGGGCTCCATAAATGGAGGAAAAACTGGGTCTATCTCCAAACGGTCCCAGGTGGGGGAGCATATTTTGTTTAATTATTTAACTACAGTGGTGCCTCGCTAGACAGTTACCCTGCATGACAGTTTTTTTGCTAGACATTGACTTTTTGTGATCACTATAGCGATTAACATAACAGTGATTCCTATGGGTGAATTTCGCTGGACAATGTTTGGTCCCTGCTTCGCAAACCGATTTTTGCTAGAGAACGATTTTGACAGCTCCCTCCGCGCTCGCAAAACAGGTGTTTTCGAGACCTAAGCTTCACAAGACAGCGATTTAAACAGCTGATTGGCGGTTCGCAAAGTGGCTTTCCTATGGCCGATCTTCGCTAGACAACAACGATTCTTCCCCATTGGAACGCATTAAACAGGTTTCAATGCATTCCAACGGGGAAATGCTTTTCGCTAGATGATGATTTCGCTAAACAGCAATTTCAGTGGAATGGATTCTCATCGTCTAGCAAGGCACCACTGTATATTGTTTGTGTTGGTTTGTGTTATTAATCTTTTTAGGTATGTAGTTTTTTTTTCATTTTCATATTTGCTTTCTTTTTGTATAAATCGGGAGAAAGGCGGCCTATGAATAAAACAAATAATAATGATAATAAATATATTTTTTTAAGTGCCGGAAGCTGCAGTGGTCTCCACCAATTCAGCTCAAAACTTTAAAGCTACCTCAGAGAGTCATATTAAACGTTGTCCTTGACCAGCTTTGAGAGTCTAGAGATTCATCTTCCTATCCAGAGACCTGCAATTCCTTCAGCTGATACCCTGAGATCTAGCAAAATACTCTTGGTTTACCTCTCCTTGCTAAGGAAAGCCAACGTGTTCACCTCTGGAAAGAAACTGCCACTGGATTGCCGAGGTTAACACAAGCGTTCATCCTGCAGCCCCTCAGCAGAAGACTCCTCACCTCCTTTGAAAGCTTTCCTCATCCCGCTTGCTCAGTTCAAAGATCCATGTTTCTGAAACGCAGATGTTAGAAATCATCTTACCAAGGACACCCGGATTTCTGACCAGCTGATGTTGGGCACGGCAGATACAGGTTGAATAAGCGTCGCCGGGAAGAAGAGATTGTAGTGGCCGGTAGCAGCTACAAACAGGCTCAGAGCCAGGTTGAACGGCAACGTGAAAACTGGCAGGTCCCATTTGCTGAAGAGGGAGCCCAAAGCGCTCGTGAAAAGAGGACTGCGAAAGAAGAACAAACATCAGACTCGGAGCAAACAGACATGGCAGACAACTTGTAATCAGAGCTGAGGTCACCTTAGTGTTGGGGAAATGTGACTGAGGCAGGCCTTCACATTCAAGCAACCAGGCTCCAGAAGAATCCCATGTTTAAATTCTGAAGGCCAATTGATAAGACAAAGGAAGCTAACTTGCAGACTTTGGGAGGGAACGAAATCTTGCAACTGTTGGGAGACCTCAGTGGTTTGGCAATTAGCACGTTCTAATGACAGGTGATATGTAATGTCTGCCTGCCTTCAAGTGGCATAAGAGGCATAAAGGTGAAGCCTTTCAAACAGATTTTACTTCCTTGAATGGCAGTCGCTCTCTCCACCAGGGTCAGCCAAGGCAGCCAATACAATATAAAACTTAATTTATCCTACAGATATGCTTGTTAAGTGGTTTCAGATAACCCCCATTCGCTAGTTGGGTTTTCCTAAGTTTAGAACAACAGTAACCACTGTGACCACCCCTCCCTGCCCAGAACAATGACCTAGATATTTTTTATTTTATTTACAACATTCCTATATAGCCCAGTAATTCAGGATCTCTGGGCTATGTACACTAAAAAGCAAACATACTGGTAATAATAATTAGAAAAAGAGGACATTGGTGACTTTGCAAATAAATACAGTACATGGGTCTCTGGTAGACATTCCCTCAGTCTCCTTAAAAATGGAACAAGTCAGACAACTTATTTTTTTATTCAGTGAGAACTTGCAACTGAGCATCAATTGGAACGCGCCACACTCCCTTGCCATTTGGCAGTTCTCCTCATCTTTCAACCTGCCGTGAACTTTTTCAAATTTAGGGGAGAACAGAACGAGCCGTTCCTCATGTTTGCAGCTGCTTAATGAGGGGCTCTGGATCGTGTCCAGAGATTGGCAACTATGGCCTCTGAGTGAACACGGGTGCGATCAGACAGCGGCCAGGTCACATGCTTGATCGCTCCTCAAAGGGTCACCTCAACTGGAGCGATCTCCATTAAAGTGACCCCGTCGTCTGGTGGGGAATCGCTCCAGCCCAGCCCCCCCCCAAAGTCAATGCCCGACATCTGGAACAAAAAAGGATCCAGGTTGGGAATGGACTGGGATTGAGCTGAAGTCCATTTCTCAGTGCATTGTGTGATGGCTCAGGGAAAAGATTGCATTGGGCCACTCACTCTACAAGTGGCCCAGATTCTGATCCATTTCCCCATGTGATCACACCCTCTTAGCTAGCACTAACAAAAAGGTTACTCAGGCAGGTATTACACGTTTTAGATAACTCACAATAAGCGTTTTACTGCGGGTTATCTGAAAACAGGTATGAAACGGCCTGTTTCGCACGTCCTGGTTTCATGCAATTCTGGTGTTGGGAGGCTTCCTGCTGCTACTGGGAGTGCTGGCAACCCATCGTAGAAGGAAGGAACCGGAAGCTTCATGGGGTGCCCTTTTTATTTATTTATTTGATTTATACCCTGCCTATTTGGGCTACCAGTCCACTCTTTTTAATGGTTAAAAAATAGGAAAGGGGAAAAAGCCACATGCCAGACCACCTCATATGTACACTAAAAGCAACACGACTCTACCCCACCCCAGGAAGAGGGGATTTATTTATTTTATTTTATTTATTAAATTTATACCCACATGCCAGACCACCTCATATGTACACTAAAAGCAACACGTCTCTACCCCACCCCAGGAAGAGGGAATGTGTAAAATCATTACTCGTTCTTGATAGAGGGCCTCAAAATCACTGCATTTAAACAAAAATCACCAGGATTGCCCTTGGGGTTCCCGTAAGAATAATTGTGTAAAATCATTACTCATTCTTGATACAGTGCCTCAAAATGTGCCTCACTGCATTTACACAAAAATCACCAGTATTGCCCTTGGGGTTCCCGTAAGAATAATTCATTACAAGTTAGCCCTCATTCCTGTAAGCCATTCTAAAATCTGCTCAGGTCCCTAATTTGTCCCCAGTCCTTTAAGCACAGCAAACCACCCCCCAAAACCAAATCATCAGTATTTCTTCACATAAAAGTGAGAAGAAAAGCAAGCTAATATGCCTTGTTGCTGCCTCTCAGAAGTATTCGTCGCTAAAGCAGAAAAGGAAGCAGATTTGTGATTTTAGTTAGAAGACTCGTGTGACATTTAAATCCTGTTTGGGTTTTTGGCATAGCTGGTTACACCCTGGATTTCAAGTGAAAAAAAAATGGTAATTGCAGCAAGAAGCATAACATTCCCGTTAAACACCTATCACGTTCTGAATGCAGTACAGTTCAATGCACCTTTTAATGTAGGACATGGGGAAGAAAGAAAATAAATATATGCTGTAATGGTTCAAAAGGAGTAGAAAGCAAACAAAGGAGCATCTAGGCCTTTGTTGAACCAACTCGATGAAAATTATCTTGAAGCTCTTGTGGAAAAACAATGGGTGAAATGGAGCTAAGGTTCACAGGGTAGAACCTCAGAAACATTCTGATCAACAGACATAACAGCATCATCGACTTTCAAGTTTTCTTATTCCTTCTGAACTTAGCTGCAATTCTCATAGCAGGTAGGGAAGAAGCGGGATTTTCCCAGGAACGGTATGTGTTTTGCAAACTATCCCCATTGTAATGTGGCTTTCTTGAAACTGGTGAGCTATGGAGAGCTTTACAAAAGACCTGTTGCTATGGGAAAGACAACAAGAATTCAATGTATTCTCAAATTCATTTGTTCATAAGGACTGATTCAACTGCCTGTAAGTTTGGACTTTCCTGGTCCCTGTGGATGTGCATAGGGGCCGTTCTGCTGAACAGCTGTGCCCTTGGGGAGTTCCCCCAAGGCCGCCTCCCCCAACACAAACAGGAAGTTCCCGGACAGAGACTTCCTGTTTTTTTTTGTTCTAAATGATCCACAACAGAACCTGGAGGGTAAAATTATGTCCACCCCAAGCCCTCCGAGACAGACCAAGATTTTCTTTTCATATGGAAAACAAAACATATCATGAAAAAGACATAACATGTGACTGAGTAGTCCCGTGTGGTATCCTGTAAGCAAGCACGGAGTATTGGCCCAGGGTCAGGAAACAGATCCTCAGATAAAGGACTCAAACCCAATGGACCACAATGACTGGCAGTGTTGAAGAACATATTGGCTTATATCATAAACTTGTCCAATCCAACACGGGGTTGTTCTGGGATGAGCTGGGCACGTCAGTTGTGTTTAGCTGAACAGCCTTGTCCCATGAAACCACTTCATTGGTTTAGGAGTCTGCATATGTTACAGACTCGCCGTGAAAGGGCAGATCTGCTGTTCTTCATCCTAACCCTAACTGCGTGTTCAGGGTAGACTTTCAGAAGTGTTCATCCAACCATTAGTACTGAGAGACATGTTACTTAAAGTGAAAGCTCACTATGATTTAGTAGATACTGGCTGAAATCCTGTTACTTAGCCTAGTAAGTTGCACCTAGAGTAGGTTCATTTGCCTCAATGGAACCTACAGGGGAGTTGATTTACCAAATCCCCATTAATCCGATGTGCTTATTCTAGTGCTGCACAAAAAGGATTTTAGCCATTTATAGGCTTATCCTTCATGACTTTGCCTAAGGGTGTGACTACACAGTGGTGAAAAATGTGAATTTATTTGCTGTGAGGGAGAGCTTGGGAAGTTAAGTTTCTCTGGGTTAATTTGCTTCTGGTGGCCACATAGGAACTGACAGAAAGAGAGGAGGAAATTGGTGCTCAGTCTCATCTTTTTCTTGTTAAGGTAGCTCTAGCTTGGCCATCTAGAGTTGCAGGAGACACAGAGCAGAGCTACCTTAACAAGCTGGAAACAAGGCTGATTGATAACTTCATCCTCTGCCAATTCATCTCTGGTTTTTTTTTCTTTTGGTCACTTGGTAGTACTAAATTAGGAAGCCTTGAAAAAGAAAAGCAAGGGAAGGGAGCAAGGAAACAAGCAGACCCAGGCCGCCAGGAGGAGAGGATTCAAATGGCAGCGAATTTCCTCACTGTCATGCCTCTCTCACTGCTGTTGTAGCTGACTGGAATGGTTTCAGACAGAAGGGCTACAAATCCTTCCACATCAGCTCACACCATCGGAACCAATGTGAATGCATTTGTTTCCAAAAAAAGCAGACATCCCCGGGCAAAGGAAAAAAAAACTATGGATGTGTGGGGGGAAATTCAAGGCTGATTTACATTGACTTGTATGTCAAGTAGTCAAAGTAAAATATTTGTCTCTGTATTTGAGCATTTCCTGCACTATCTGTCCGTGCGATCACTCCCTTAGTTTCAGTTTAGTGACAGTCTGACTGTCTTGGATTTCCCCCAAATTAGGGCAGGGATCCATCACCCTCCTTACACTAAGGTTGAATATTTGCAGCGAGGAATCTTCTCTCCAGGTGATCATCCTGTGCACTCTTTATCGTCCTGTGTCACCAAAGCTCTGAATGGTGGAGAGAGCTCCTATCTCTGTATTTATGCAAACAGGATTTCAGCCATGGAGTCACAGAGAGCATAGGAGGTGACAGTAGAGGAAGATTCTGACTGCAGAAACGCGGAAGGATCCCACAAAAGCAAGGAGTGCTCCCTCAGTTTTCCTTGCCACTCTCTGGGGCATCCGGGGGGGGGTACGAATCATGTGAGAGGACATGCAGGAAGGCCATAAAGGGAGGACGAGGCAAAAGGGAAGAGTTTTCCGAACGATGCACCTCTAGCTAGAGTCGAGACTCACCATGTCATGGAGACGAGAACAACAGGAAGCAACAGCCACCAATAATAGTCGCCTTTGTCTGAGAACACAGCCATGAGCATCCCAACCAGCACCCCGTTGTAGCCGTACAGTCCTGCTGCGATGGCTGACCTGCGTGAGGATGGAAACAGACACTGAGAAATCCTTGTCGTTTGATCCTGATCGACAATAATGGGTTGACCACGATAAGAGAGGAGCTTGGCTTTTTTATCCCGGGGTTGTGACAAAGACGTACGGCAGGCAACAGGGGTGTCCTTGCCCGGAAGAATCTCGGTCGCTTAGTTGTCAACAAGGAATCATCAAACTCAGTGGTTCTTCACCTTGGGTCCCCAGGTGTTCTTGGACCAAAACTCCCAGAAGCCTTCACCACGAGCTGTGCTGGTCAGGATTTCTGGGAGTCCAAGAACATCTGGGGAACCCCAGGTTGGTTAACCACTGGTTTGATTTATAGGATAATCTCCTGCTACAGCCACTGGAAGTGAATTAAAGCTAGGAGGCATGTAGGCATGGCCACTAGGAGAATTTGCACAAAATGGGGAATTTTTTTTTCATCTGAAAAATCAAATCTGGGGCCTATTTAGCCTGGCCCTTCTGATTGTCAGCATAGTGTTTCTTCTCATAGGAAGCTATCCTGTTTTGATGTTCTTTCTTTCTTTCTTTCTTTCTTTCTTTCTTTCTTTCTTTCTTTCTTTCTTTCTTTCTTTCTTTCTTTGTGAAGAATTTGTTATTTGATGTAATCATGTTTGTGTGTTATATTTACATGTCGTTTTATGTATGTATTTGGAAGCCACCTAGTGTGGTTGCAAGACCAGATAGGCGGGATATAAAATAAAAAATAAATAAAAATTAGTCTTCTGCTTTGCTGTTGACTTATATATAACAGCATTCTCCTGTTTCTGTAAGTTTCTTTAAAATGTGTTTCTACCTTACGTTCCAGACATTGCCTGGAAAATGTTTATTATCTTGTGGTTCCAAAGCACTGTAATGGACAAGCCTAACTAAATAAAATCATCCACAGAATAACATGATTTTGCTTGGAGGATTTTAGCTTTTGGGTTTCAGAATTTCAGTCCCACCTATACTGCAGAACATGGACACTTGGTAGAGTGTCCTTAAAGTAGGGGTGGGTGGGAGTAAGGCAGGCAGGCAGGCAGGCAGGCAGGCAGGAAGGAAGGAAGGCAGGCAGGCACAACAAAACGGAGCAACACTAGCCAATCCAAGAATGAAAAACAGGCATTCTGAGTCAATGGAACCCATGAAAAAGATATGGAAGGTAATGTTATTTATATAAGATGAAGTTACAATACTGTAACAAGGAAATAGGATGCCTTAGCTTCTCTATCGAGGCAATTTCACTGCAATGTTTTTGTGATTAGTATCTTATAATTGCATTAAAGGAAGGGCAATAACACAGGTGGTTTTAGCTACCTTCCAAGCTGC